ATCATATGAGTAGGTCACAATCCATATATTAAATTTACTATAGATTAGTACTATTTCAATACTAGTTCAATACTTTTTGGAGCCCTAGTACTGATGTTATATATATAGTTATTATCAATTTGCCATACTATATATGCTTTAAATATAAAAATATACTGATTCTTGGCATGTTATTGGATTCCAGTAAACCAAGTTTACACAAAATAAATTACTATCTTATATTAATTGTTAATAAATTAATGCAACTATGGCAAGAAATAATATTGGAATAAATTGTCAAAAATAAGAAAGAAAAAATAATTTGGATAACTTTAATTTTAGTTTCATGTAATATTTCTGCAGTACATAAAATATGTAAATATATTTCAGTACTAGTATCTTGTTACCATTGTAAAAAAAAAACTAATTATGTAGACAATCAATATAACTTTGGTAGCATAAAAAATATAAATAAATGATTTACTGTATATCAAGAAATTTAGCAATATACAGTATATACAAAATACAATCAAATAGAGAAATTATAATACAAATGTAATATGAAAGTATTTTGTTAATAAAAATCTAACTAGATGGTTCAAGCTTCTTTGCTTATCTTGTTTTAATTTTATTTGATATTTAATTATTAATTCAATATACTGTTTTTTTTTAGGTATTGGTAAATGGCTTGTTAAATAAATATGGATTGAAGAAAAGATATTGACAAATAATACATTAGATGAAATACAAATAACAATAGAAAATTTTCAAGTATTATCTGACATTAGTCAAATTCCAAGAAAAATAAACTGTAAAGAAGACTTTTTAAACTTTACTATTAACCAATGGAGAAATTTTTTTATAATATGCAATTATTGTTTTATAAAAATATTTTTCAAAAATTTATTGTCAAATATTAATTAATTTTATCAAAATATGTTAGATATTTGTATGCTGAATTGTAAAATAAGAATTATTAAACAAATCTTATAAAAAACTAATAACAATAATTAAGTTAATTGAGTAAAATATGATAAAGAAAAAATTATGTCAAACCTTTATCTTTTTTTATATCTGTATAAATGCATATATAATTATAGGCCATTATATACTTTTTGATATTTTTCATTTGAATAAATAAATAGTTTGTTAGATAGGTTTTTTAAAATTGATATTTATAAAATAATATTCTAATAAATTTTAAATTTAGAATCATTGTTTAATAACTATCAAAATATTGAACCTGAACTAATATGAAAATTAACAAATAACCATCAAATTATTAATTTAACTGCATTTTATTATAATAATATAGGACTTGAAATCTTAAATAATTAATTAAATATCAGATCAATTTTTGATAGACAAACTATGCTAATTCTTAAACAATATATATAATATTAAAAGACAGTTATCAATAGATCAAACAATTTTTTGACAAATTATTGCATCTTGAAAAATTAAATTTAATTGTATCTTCTGAAATCTTGAATTTATTAGTCAAATATTATAAAGCTTCTTATAAAATTATAAACTTTTGAAGGTCATTCATTAAAGATATTAATAATAATTCAATAATTGTTCAAAATAGAGCTAATCAATATAAAAGATACTAAATTAGAAGCAAAATCGTTGATTTTATTATGTTATTTAGTTAATTTGTAAATAATGATGAAAAATGTCAATTTATATCTAGGATAAATTCAATTTTTCTTTACTTATTTGATCAACTTATCAAATAATATGACAAAACACAATTTGGTTTTTATTTGATAGTTTAAATCTATTAATTTAGCAAATATCGGATTATATTTTGAATTTGAAAATTATGTAAATGTTAAACTATGGAGTTCTGAATTTTATTTGATTAGATGTGAATGTATAATTCCTATTTATAATATTTTTGGCCAATTTATTTCATTTAAATATAAGATTTCAAATCAACAAGATTTTTGTAAATATTTAACCATTATTCTTTTAAATTGCAAATACAATATATAAAATTTTATTAAAATATATATAATTTGGCAAGATAATATAATTCAGTAAAAATATATATAAATTTAGCAAAGTAATATAATTTAATAATATATATATATTTGATAAGATAATATAATTTGTCAAAACAATATAATTCATAAAAGTAATATAATTTGACAATAACAAAATAATTTTTATTGTATATATAGTTTAGGTTATATTTTTAAAATCCTAATTTTTATTATTTTTATTTAATATCTATTATAAAGAAATATTAATTATTATATTATTATAAAAAGATATTAAGTTAATATTGTATTTAATATTGTATTTAATATTGTTTTTTTATATTGAAGTTTTTATTGAAAATATTAATTTGATTACTAGTATCAAATATTGAAAAGATATTGATTATAACTTTATATATTAATTTTATTATTTGTTTTATAGTATATTGATTATTGATCAATTATTATTGTTTAAATAAAATATAAAATTAATCAATTTTTTTTGTGTTAAGAAGCAATTTAAAATAAAATGTTATTATATTATATATTATAATGTAATATAACAAATATTTTATTATTTACAAGTATCAAATAGAACAGAAATATAATTTAAAAATAATTTGAAACAAAAATTATATTTAATTTTCACAATACTAACAAATTAACTTTTTTTAAAAAATTTTATCTTGATTTATAGAATTTGTTAACTTGATTTTTGTAAATAAACTTGAATTTATTAATTGTTAATAGTTATAAAAATTTCAAGAAAGAATTTTTGCTTTATTTAAATTATTGATAAAAGACAAGAAAAGATTTTAACAATATTATATTCTAAGTTTGATATTAAATTTATTATGAGTTTAATATAGTAGGTTACAACATATTATTAAATTTATTATAAGTTAATACTATTTTGATACTATTTTGATATCAGTTTGAAACCTTAGTCTTACTACTTTTTGATTTATTTTGATAGAGATTATCACTGGAATAACAGATAATCCTATATAATTTCTAAATTTTTTTAAAACTAACAACTTGGACACCAATCAAAAGAACTTTGATCACAATATTTTAATTAAGTGCTTAAAGTTTTTGCTTATTATTATTTTTTTGTATACAATTTACAATAGCAATTAATTCATATATGTTTTATATAAAAAATCTTATCAAGTTAAGAAAAGATGTTCAATTATAATAGTTATAAGGTTATTATTAATTATTAATTATTATTTTATTACGGATAAATAGATTTCATGTATTCAAATTTGTTAATTAATTGTTTATTCGTTGTTCTTGTTTTACGCTTATGTATAAATCAAAAAAGTTTAGATGATTTTTTTAATACATGATTTATGAGGTAAGATTTGTAAAGGAATAGGTGGTTTCATGGTCATATTTTATTTATTTGTTTGTTTATTTTTCCAACTTTCCAATTAAAGAGATTTCTATAAGCCAAACAAAGTTTTTCTACAATCATCTGAACTCTTATTATTCAAGATGTCAATGATAATAGCACGGTGGAAATAATACAGTATATTCATAACATGAAGGCTGAAAAAACGCGAATTAAAAATTGAAAATAACTTGCGTTCATACCTTATCTTGCTGGATTGTGATTTGTTCGTTTACTTGAATTGATTTCTTTGACATTGACGATATGTATCGGGGCTTCCATTGTTTGTTCTCACATGTATACATTGTTTAGAGAATTATAATTTGATTGCATGAAGCCGGTTTTTTACTAGATCGTTTTTTTCTCGTCTCTCTCATTATTACTATCTAGATAACAAAGTTGGCGTACATTTAGTACACCCAAATAAAGTTCCTCGGTCATGGTCTAGCCATCAGAACCTGATTGGTTCTGGGAAGAGAATTTGTAATTCAAAGTCGCGTCATAAAATCATTTCTACATTCGGGGAGTAATTTCAAATTATCCCGAATTTTATGTCAACACATAATCTTGCGTCAAAATTTTGATTCAATCGATAAATAAAACAATCCGTGTTGGCAAATAAATTTGAGTTTGAAACCTCACGTAAATTTGGCAAAATCCAATTAATTGTTAAACCAGATATCTCGACCAATGGACTTTGCAGGGTTAAAGAAGGTTTCTTTCATCAATCAGATTAGTGTTTGCAGCGGCTTTAATGTTGACATATTTTTTCACACGGAAAATCAATTCGTGAATTGAGTTATTGCAGTAGCTCCAATAACAAATAATCTATAAAGTTTGCTCTCAAAAAATAGCAAGTGTTGATATTTAGGAAGCATAAATAATAAAATTGATGTTACAATTTGAAAAGATCATCTGATTGGAAAATTGCATAGCAATCTAAATAAAATAAAATAAAATAAAATAAAATAATTATTTCCTGTAATTCTTTCAAATCTCACCACAAATTTTCATACTTTGTCCATTTACACTGTTCGGTCTACGGTCATTACATGTGGATATCACATTGTGGTTGTTCTAACAAGTCTGATCAATTGAGTAAAATAAAAGGGTATGAAAGGTCAACTCAACTCAATGCAAGTTCCCCTATGAAAGACAACTTTTCTATTGATCGATGCATGGAGTCGTGTTACCAGGACGAGTATAATAATCATAGGTTTTAAAGAAAACTATCAAGATCATTTCTTCAACCGGATTCTCTGATATCCCCTCTTAGAGATTGAAGTCTTTTTAATTCAGCCTTCCGGAATCCATTCATTACTCATGAAATGGATTTTTCGCCGATAGTCCCTCAAATAAATTTTTAGTATTATTGTGTTTGACCTTAAGGATTGATCTTATGAAGGTAATCTGTCGTTCATGACAAATTCTATTTGGAAAAAGTTATTTCAAGTTTTATCCAATTTTTTTTTTTACAAGAAGTTGACAACTTCCACGATTGTAATGCTAATGAATAAAAATAATATAAAATCCATCTTAATTTGGGAAGCATCGGTCATTAACATGCCTAGAAACAAAGGAATATTTTATAGGTTCTCAATATTATCTATCATCAACACGAAAATTGATTAAATGCGTTAAGACGAAGTTGAGGCAGCCGTTTTCTCTTTTTCATCAGGAGACAACTCCGTCTCTTGTAGCTTATCTTCACCCATCACTCGAGCCAAGTCTACCGGTTTTCTTTTTGTCTTGATAAACTTTTCTGGCAAAGGTGGGAGAATACCTGCCTATCTCACAAAAAACGATAATAGAATGATAGATAAAAGACGTTCAATTACGTGCACAGAAAAAAACTTTTTTGCTCTCACCCTCGATAGAAGTCTAGCTACAGTATCGCTAGGTTGTGCTCCAACAGTCAACCAATACTTGATTCGGTCTTCTTTCCATTCGATAGATTTAACTCCGTCCGGTCCAGGAATTGGATCATAGACACCAACCTTTTCTATATGTTTTCCGTCTCTAGGGCACTTCGAATTGGCTACAACAATATGATAAAATGGTCGATTCCTGATTCCATGGCATGCCAAACGAATTCGAACGACCATGTTTACTTGTTTTGGTCGAAATTTGATTGTTGAAAAGAAAACGTTTCGTCAATCTTTATGCAGATTGATTGTACCACAACTATATCACGTGAAAATGTCTGTCAAATTTTATTTTATTTTTCAGAAACCCGGAACCTATGTACACATTTTTTTTTCGATTGTCAAAAAAATTGAATCGTGAATGAAGAAATGTTCGTAAAGTGTGAATACTACGCCTTTTCTGTAAATGTATGTGCAATATTTTTAGACGAAAATAAATTTATCCATGCAACGTTAATAAAAATTGCGATTATCATAATAACATTTGTAGTCATCATTTAAGTCATATTCATCGCATTCACTATCGGTCTTCCCGCCGTAGTATATCCATTCTGTGCCTACCACGGCCGGACATTTTCCGGGATTTATTGGCATTCTTCTGAAGTGGGCTTGAGCTGGAAAAATGTTAGTTGTCAAGTTAGTATTTTTTTTTTTTTTTTATTTCTGAATTAAAGTCGACTGGTATGGTGCGTGATACCTGCTTGTAAAACATTCTCCGTAGGTTTTGAAGTCCACGGGATTATGCGTTTGACGTTTGAATGTGAGGTGAAATGTGGTGCTGAAAAATAATAATATTACATAAACGTCTTTCTCTCGATACTTGACACGTGAAATGTACATCAAAGTCACGTTACCTGTTGTGGCGAATGATTGTACTGAGAGCGCAATTGAGTAATCGATTTCGTCAACGAATTCAAGAGGTTCCATGACGTCAGGATCATTAGTATATGTGGCTCCAATTACCATCAAACACTTGTTTCCATGTTTTTCGGCGGCGTAAAGTTTATAGGCCCTGACCCATTCATTATAGATTTCGGGTTCATCACTATGGTGATTGTCTTGATTCCAAAATTTTATCACAACAATGGCAAATACGCCGCATTCAGAAGCCAATAATAGGACGCTGGGTTCTTGTTGCTGTTCAAAGGTGGTGGTGACATTCCAATGAAAATCGTAAAGGTATTTAAACCCGGGTAGGCGGTCCTTGATACTGCGAAGAAGTTCCTCGGCGTGTGGGGAAGATTCGGTAACATCTCGCCAATAATGCTGCCTCCATCGGTCCATTTTTCCAACATATTCCAAGAATGGTTTGTACCAATCTTTACTAATTAAGATGATGCTATCCATATTCTCTTTGTGTTCCTTGATCTCCCAATTGAAATCAAAGGTGACCGTGCTAATCGGGTCATGGTGAACTCCGGCGATGTATGGTAAATATTTTGCTGATTTAAAGATCCCGATGAACTGATCCAAATCATACTTTGAGTTGACATCTCCGTGATACATTTTTTGTTTTATTGTTCGCAGATTGGCCGTATTAGTTCCTTCCTGGAGTGCACGAAAGATCATCCGACACATTCTAAGTATTAAATTCTGTAAGTCTCTCTTGTAATCATTATCCATAATGTGGGAAGTTGTGCACTCCACACATTTACACTGCGCTTCCATCTTTTAATTCTTGTGAGCAGAAAGGTTTAGGTTGCTTTAGTGGTCCGTCCGAAATTTCTTTCTTGTTTTCACACGAAATGAAACTGTGGAGAAACAAAATCGTTGCAAAGGAAAAGGAAAGGAAAAAAAAAAAAAAAAAAAGGAAAACAGCTTTTTTTAAAAAACCTGTTGCCCTTCTCATATAATCATTTGACTTCGACCTTCTAACCAATGATTGTCAAATTTGCATTGTAATCGGAATACGGAAGCGGCGTTTCCATATAGTTACACTGAGCAATAAGGCCCTGACAAAGAATCCATCCGGAACAAATCAGATTGCACAGCCGGCGATATTTCTACGAAAAAAAAGATCGACTCTCTATTGTCAAAGTCGCATTTAAAACGAATTCACTTTTGGAACCTTACAATGACGATTACCTGGCATGACATGTTCGTGGCTGCGGCCTCACGGTGATCGCATACACTCGATTTTCAATTCGAGGTGGTCATTTGACAAATATGGGTTTCTATTGGTACAATTTCAATGGTGTACCACGTAAAAAAGCAGGTATAGTTTTATTTATTTGCCTATACTGTCATTATTATTAGTATTGTGTCCGGAAATTACACTGGTGAAGTTTTAAAAAATCGATGTGCGTATGCGCTTGCAGGAGAGTAAGACAATATCAAATGAATGTGATTATGAAAAAATAGGGAATCAGATGGTGCATTAAACAAGTGTTTCAAGTAGTGACCTGCACTCGGGTCCACACCGTTTAACCTTATCTGTCTTTCATCGACCTAACCTTTTCCTTTAGTAAAATTCGAAAAATAATCCCGTGATATTTAAATATTATCACATCGTTATTTATTTATTATTTTTTTTTTTTAGCTATATCTTGATGCTAAACAAAATCCCGAATTCGGAACAATGTTACCTGCGATAGATTATTAGGACGCGTGAATTTCTTATTGAGTTGGAGACAAGAAATTCCATATTATTCGTGAAGAATGATTATTTTCAGCTACGTGATGCGCGAAAACCAATTCAAATACAAGGACATGTGACCGATCATAAGAATTCAAGATTTGCGGATAAAATTGTGGTTTAATAATGGTCATCCCTGCATGTCGAAAATCTTGAAATGATCGAAAATCGAACCAAAAATATAATCTAAAGAATTTCTATTCAAAATAAGTTATTCTCCAAATGATACATCGTGGAGCTAGTAAAATTACTAATTTCTCCTATTTCTTTCTGGTGAGAACTTTTTGTGTGAGTTGGATCAACGCATTCCTTGCATCTGACTCTGGCAATTGCGATATGGTCTCAATGGCTCTTTGACAATGTGATGCTGCCAAGATTCTTGTTTTCTCAATGCCCCCGCTCTGATATACTAACTCTCGTGCCTAAATGATTTAAGGATCATATTACTTTGGGATTGCTTCTGGACGGACATCATTCGAATCTTACCTTTTCGACATCGCCTTTTTGACTGAATTTTCGATTTATTAACGGACCCAACTCTGGATGCTCTTCCCATGCGTATAATACCGGCGCAGTTGCCAGTCCCAATTTCAAATCGGCACCCACCGGTTTTCCAAAATCGTTGGCTGTAACTATAAAATCTAGCATATCATCTGTCAACTGGTGAGGATGTCAAATGAATTATTGATGGTAAAGGTCGATGAAACATGAGCAATGACACGATGAAATGATTTTACCTGAAAAGCCAACCCCAAATCGCGACCGTACGCATAGGCGATATCACAAACTTCTGCTGTGGCCCCACCCAACACCGATGCTGCTCGGCAACTTTTTGCTATAAGACTCGCTGTCTTCATGTAAGTTTTTTCCATGTAATAGTCGAATGTAGACATGGTACCGTTTTCTTGAATATTTTGAAGTTGCATGAACTCGCCTTCGACAAGATTGGCAATCACAGTAGCCAATAATTCAATGACCTCCGGGTTTCTCAATCTTGCCAAGGCTACAGATGCACGAGCGAGCAAAAAATCCCCGGCCAAAATAGCCATCTTGTTGCCATAGTTTGCGTTTGCTGACGGAAGATTACGGCGCGATTCGGAAACATCGATCACATCATCATGAAGTAATGATGCAGTATGAATCATTTCCGTAATTTCAGCCAAACGACGTTGCGTGGGAAGGATAATTACTCCTTCGGGTGAAAGTGATGGGGAGTAAAAGGTGGAATCTACGTCGCTAGTTGGGAATGATGAAATATTTTTGTTGAGAGCTTTTGATGACAACGGTTGATCCATGATTTGAAAAAAATCGGCGTGTACAGCGTCGCATTTTTTCGGCGCTATACTTGTTGCCTGCGACATCAATAAAACAATCAGGGGCCTTATACGTTTTCCCTCTGACGCAAAATAGTAGTTGCTAACGGTGTTCAAAACTGGATGTCCACTGCCCAGAAGGACTTCAATGTTTTTGGTCAGATTCAAAAGATCTTTACCAACGAGTTTCACAGGATCAATATATGATCCACCATTGTGTTTAATCAACTTCTCGGCATCGGATACTGCTTGATCCCACGTTTCCGCTCTACCAGCGAATTTCGGTGTACTGTCACTTTTTTTCGTACTCGCTACGCTCGCATTCCTACCCCTGAGAAAAAATGTTTTAAAACTATCAAGACTACTAGCCAATCGCTTTATTAGAGACGGTTGAACATTGGTTGTGTGTAATGATGCATTCGAAAATATTATCGATTTCCGCGTTCCCGATGTTAGCAATGCTGCGGGTGACGGCGAATTCTTTTTAAATGTGTATTCGTACAAATGGATGTTCCTCGACAAGGTCCTCGGACGAGCCAACATTATTTCAGGTAAATGAAGGATCTAGTAATTATCCTAAATTTGATAAGTCAAATATTATTTGGTAGATCGTCATCATCTAAGCGTTTTGTTGTAAAACTCGAAATCTAAATTTGCGCGATAATATTAAGTCCTCGTTTTATATTTTGATGCATCGCCGGTCATAAGATTTTACCTTGTAAGATATCAATCCAAGTTTATTTCGCAATCGACTTCAAGATTTTTGAGACAATTCAAGAGAAGATGAGGAGAAAAAAAAAAAGAGAAATTTTTTTTAAGATGTCAAGAATTAAGGAATCTTTGTAATTTTGATCATTTTGCAAATGAAATTAGAGTCGATGTCAAGTTTGAAAAAAGGGTGGTAAACTGCAACAATATTGGTTAATTGTTAATCACGCAGTCGTCATTTAATCTTCTAGGGATTAATCAGCTGACGATTTTTAATGAGAAACACCGAGCAAGTCCGACCAAATTATTTTATTTGGGTCTCACTTACATGGTAAGCCTTGGTTCGCGAAAATTTCGAGTAAAACATTCAAAAGTGCCGATCTACAATTTTATATAGGTTTTTGTGTGGTACATGTGTAATCGAATTTCCATGATAAACGGGAAGCAACGTGCTTCCATTTTTCTCCAAAGGACTTTTGATAAGATCTACTTGGATTTTATAATCGAAACTTAAACATGGCAACTTGGTCTTCGCGTATCATCTCGAAACTTCAGAGTCAAGAATTTCGTCAGTACCTCATGAGGTAGGTGGAATATTTTGCTTGGACCGATTTTTTTTTTTTCCTGAATCATTGAATGCCTTAACAATTTCTATTTCGCGATCGCAACTTAGCACGGTAATTTTGTAAATTATGTATTTTCCTCCTTTTATTATTATTAATTTCCTTCATTTCCATTTTATATTCGTATAGCACTTTTGGGGACCAGGTTTGCAATGTTTCATTTCGAGTTTGCTCGGTCTTTCGTTCATACCTTTTCGATGAAACCGATTCTTATTAATTGACTCGTAAACACAGTTGCAAACTGGGGCTTACCATTGGCTGCTATCGCTGATTCCCAGAAAGATCCTAAAATCATATCTCCCAGAATGACGACTGGTAATTGAAGTTAATCAATGACTTTAAGAAATTCCACGTATTTATTACCAACCGAGATTTCTCGCATTTCAGCAATGTGTTTGTATTCTATTATGTTCATGAGGTTTGCCTGGATGGTAAAACCTCGTAATATGTTGCTTTTCGCGTGTCACTTTACGAATGAAACGGCACAACTATATCAAGGTTTCCGTTATATCAAATACCACCGGTAAGTTTTATCATCATTGCATGTCAAGGAACACTTCTTCGGAAGATCAAGGTACAAAAGAACCAGATGTGCTAATCTATTGCCGATATTTGTTGCTGCTCGTCACTTGTTTCTTTCCATCTGTAGAGAATTAAAGAATAAAGAAAGCATCGAACAAATATGATGTGATCCTAAATATTTCCGTTGTTCCTGATATGTATTTTCAGAACTAATTAATAAATATTCGAGAAGAAAGTGGAAGTCTCTCTCTCTTTTTTTTTGTAACAATCCGACCCATCAATATTTTTAAATTATCAAATTATTCATAGTCACTCAATAAATCCTCCCCGTACCATTTGAAACTCTTCGAGTACATAATATTTCCGATCTCTTTACTCGCCTTTTCAATACCTTGTTCTGAAATGCTCATTAACGTCCTCTGTAGACTCAGCATTCTCAACCTTCCTCCGCCCAAACATTGACATACCACCTCAAGATGTTCGTCAGAAATAAAATTACACAAGTTAAAGTCCAACACATTCAATTTCTTTATCCTCCAGTTATCAAAAAATTCTTTTAAACTTTCCGGACTAAAATCCCAATTTAAATTGTACCTAAATGTGTGTACTGTTGACGGCATCACTTTTCCCAACTCCTTAAGAAATTCGTTCCCGTCTATTGCCGGAGGTATGAGAAATCGTGATGGCAACCAGTTTTTCATCAATCGTGTATCATTAAGGTGAACATCCTCCACCGTCTCACAATTTTTTAATAAATCGATTACGTGTTGACTCTGTGATGTATCAATTGATGCCTTGAATTTTGTGATCCTCTGGCAATTCCTCATGCAACTCTCCACGACCTCGCGGAAATGTCCTACGCACATCAGTTCCACCTGTCGCATTCGCTCTTTGGACTGTCGGGTGACATATATCAAGAATTCAGCGGGGAACCGCTTGCATGCCGTCACCGACAGCTTGTTGATCTTTGTGAATGATGACAGATTGAACTCGTTTATCGTTACCGTAAAATTGTTACAATAGTCAAATCCCAATTCTTCAAGATTCCGAAAATTGTCAAGGGCGTTCAGCGAAAATGGTTGTTGTTTCTCGAATTTTATTGAACTGAGTCGTAGGGACACCATCGTCTCCGCGTGCATCGCAATGCTTTCCCAAAGTGTGTGGAATCTCATTTCACAGCATCCGAGCGATATCTTCTGAACTTTGCGTTGAGATCTTATCAATTGGGCCGCAAAATTCATCTCATCGCAATCATCGTCTAGAAAAAGTCGAAATTGACGAATATCTCTGGATATCTTTGCCGCTGAATCCAATAATTCCGGTAAGTATCCGTCATACTCGAACCTCTGAACTCTCGCTAAACTAGTTTCCGTTCCGGGAAGTTCAAATATATTTATGATTCGCGATAAATGGACGCTTTCAATATTCGAATGGGTAATGAATTGTTGACAGAGAACCTTAAATAATGTATCCTCCGTCTTATTTTGACCATCGAATGCGGCTTTTGTCCAAAATCTTGTGCTAAATAGAACTTCCTCAGTGCTCAGACGAGACAGGAATTGAAAGTAATTAAACGCACAGGGTGTGGTGGTGGCGACGGCATCATTCACTTCTTGACATGTTGGGGGTAGACATTTCACATAGGTGGAGATCAGTTGAATGTGACGAGATTTTTCGGCACGATCACGACAAAGAGAAAAAGGATCTCTCCAGAGCTCCTGGATGGAGAATATGCACCAATGACGATTTATTAATATGCAGGCGTGAAGAGCTGCCCATTCGCCCCTTAGGTCAAGAAGTATTTCTCGAATGCAAAGACTGGGAAGCACTGACGCCATGATTAATGATAACAGAAAACTTATATACGAAGAGAGAAAAATTCATTAGTAAAAGTAAAATTAATATGAAAGAAATTCACAAGACGGCACATTCCCACATCGATTCACATCGATGTTGCCACTGAGCATAGTACGTGCGTGCATGTTATATGTATGGCGATTATCGTAAAAAGTTGGCATGACAAACACTCTAAAAAAAGATTCGAGTGATAGTGATTCGTGGCACAAAACATACTTGTTTTCAGTAAAGAATATTGAATGTTTACGGCCGATGCATCGCGACAGAAAAATTTGTATGTGTGTGCATGTGTGTTCACGCATGCCATGCATACAAATACCGTCGTGCAAAAGAAAAAATATATATGATACCGCGTAGGGGACTACCGGGATTGAACCGGTGACCTATTGATCTGCAGTCAATTGCTCTACCACTGAGCTAAATCCCCAGCGAAAGTTAATAATTTCTAGGGTTATCGCTATTTATAAAATCCTCAATTACTAATATGGTCATGATTGTAGTATCGCACTAAACTTAACGATACCTTTACTGCGCCAGAACTGTCGCTTTTTTTTTTAAAAAAAAAAAATCTTTTGGTCATTCGCGGAATCTTTTTTTACTCTAGAACAGTGATCTGATGACCATGGTCAGACGATTTCTCATATGATAATATCGCGCGTGATAAGATGCAGAAGGTAAAAACGAATCAGGCTATTCTATGCCGAAATGACGGACGCATGAATAATTACTGTATATGACCATAAACGACAAATACACAATATCTGACCTTAAGCCACTCCCATATATATGAATTTCTTGTATGGGCGACTCTTCAATACTTGATCGGAAAAAAGAGAATGACCTCACATAGAATAGCTCAGAACATACATATGAAATGAAAGATACGTAATGCCTTATTTTTTCTTTCTTAATTTGATAAACGAGAGGCTTGGATTGTTCTGTAACCTCGCTATGCAAAAAAACAAAGACCAAAATCGGACTACGTGAGTCCAGTGACAAATAAACATGACGCAATTAAGTAAATTAAGTAGCCCTTTGAAAAGCCACCACTGATAAGTATTCGAGGGTTCCGAATGTTTTATTTCGTGTTACTATAAAACGGAATTGTAATTGTGCATTATTATTACTTTAGATTAAACATTTTCCTTTCTGATTTTTGCCACAATGTCACAGTAAACAATACTTTCTAAATTTGTGCAGAAAATTTTGCTTCAAATTAGCCGAAAAAAGTTTGAACTTCAATTATCATTAAATTCTGTTTTCTCTTTCTTCGTAAAACAATCATCCAAGGATGTATTCAAAAGACTTGTCGGCTGCCCTTCTCAGGGATATTGCAAATATTTACAAAGGTGCAGATGACTACAATCTGCAAATAATCGTAGGCGAAGAACCAAATACTGAAGTTTTCAAGGCTCATTCGGTGATTTTACGGGCTAGGTCTTCTTATTTTCATGCCGCCCTATCCAATAATTGGGTAATTAGGGATGGAGATATGATGCGTTTCAAAAAGCCAAACATTTCTCCGGATGTATTTCGGATCATTCTGAAGTAAGTCCCTCCGATTTGAATTTTGAGGTGAAAGACCGTCCGTCATAATTCACACACACACATCTTGTGTTTCAAGATATATTTATACAGGAACGATTAGCCTCGATCCTAGTAATGGTGAAATAAACTACGTGGAACTGCTTACTGCCGCCGACGAACTAACTCTCACCGATCTGGTCGACTACATCCAGGACCACATTATCAACATGGATCGCATCTGGTTCCAACGTAACATCGTTCAAGTTTTTAACACCGTTTCCTGTCATGAAGTGCTTTTCCGTAAACTCCTTGACCATTGCACGAAAATCATTATCAACGACCCCAAAATCCTTTTCACCTCCGGAGATTTTGGTCAACTAAACGAAGATGCCTTGCTTTCCATCATCTCTCAGGACACCTTACGAATGAAGGAAATTCAAATTTGGGAATACCTTCTCAAATGGGGACTGGCTCAATCCAATATGTTCGATTTGGATCCCAAGAATTGGAGTCCTGAGGAATTTCAGGAATTGGAAAAGGTGCTTCACAACAGTATCTCTCATATCAGATTCTTTCAGTTATCCTGTAACGACTACTATTACAAGATTAGACCTTACAAAAAACTATTACCCAAAGAACTTCGTGAGAATCTAAAATTATTCTTTATAATTCCAAATAGTATTCCAAAATCTTCTTTCTTACCACCAAGAATTCCAAAGCTTGCTCTTGATTCTACCATTATCGATACTAAACGTGCAGCATTACTTTGTAGTTGGGTAGATCACAGGGAAGGCACTTCACTTTATCTCCCTCACGAAAATCCTTATAACCTAAAACTCTTATTAAGAGGAACTCGAGATGGATTTTCAGTTGAGGACTTTAAAAAGCGATGTTTCAATCAAGGTCCAACATTGGTGGTCATACAGTCTGGTTCGTCAAACTCTTCAACAGGATTGACTAGATCTGGACAAATTATAATTGGTGGATATAACCCTTCGAGTTGGTCGGGATCGAACAAGTTCACGCATTCTACGGAGAGTTTCATATTTTCGTTATGCAGCGACGCACAATCTCATATCACCACATTAAGCAGAGTCATAGTGGAGAACGACGCAATCTCGGATGATGACAGTCAATTTATCGGGTTTGGGCATGGGGACTTGTACATTTTTAAAGGAAGTTGCCAGAAGAGAGATTATATGTACGGGATTTTGGATAAGACCAAGTTTACTATGGATGAATTGGAAGTATTTCAAGTGGTAAAGGGTCTGGATTCTTGATAAACAATTATTAACATCTACTGTGTGATCCTGACAATTGCTTAAATTTGTACCAAATGCTAAATTAGATATTTATTTTCAGTTATTTTGAGATTTATTGGACTATGGGTTAAATTAGAAGACTTTCAAATATGCTTCGAGATTTATCGGACTATGGATTAGATTACTTGTTTTTTATCAATTTTAAATAAAGTGGTACACAAGATATTTTAGCAAAATATAAAAGGACCTTGTCTCCGCGTATAACGATTCTCCCTTGTTTCTAATGTTGAGACTTACTGTTAGTATATATTGCTACGTAATATTTTTATTGTATTGTATTCGGTAATATGTAATTTATTAGGCATTGGGTATTAACATGAAAATTTTCAAAAAAGAATAATAGAAATCTGCGTGTAGCAATTATAAGTAAACCCGTTATTTTCTTTTCAATTCTATAATATTTATTCTATCGTCATTTCATTGAGAAAATAACTTTTTTGAATTTATAAAATTTCAAATTTATCATAAAAGAGAATTGAATATTATACAAATAAATAAATAATACGAAAATACTTTTGGCATTTCTATTTGTTCGATTCAAAAATCATATCAAACAATTTACGGACTATTTACTTTTTTATAAAAAAAGCCTTTTTTAAAAGTTTAACAAGACTTTGTATCGATAAAAAAGTCCGTTGCCTAACATATTAAATGTTAAATTATTAATAAAATGAAACAACCTCATATTAGTATTAATCAGTTGTTAAGAATCCTGATAAAACATTTGCATATTGTCTTGAGTAGAATTATAGATCTAGTGTTAAATTCTTTTTGCTATTCTTTTTCTTTGGAGATGGAATATAAGAAACTGTTAAAGAAATCAAGTAGAACTTTTCTTGTCAAGATTCCTAATTTTTTTGGTATTTTGTATTTGATCTTGGAGAACCTGTTACTTTGTCCTTGGAAAAATCTTAAAAAACTTTTTCCAATTCCTCTGATTAGATTTTTTTTCTATCTTGTTATATCAGCTGCCTTGAATTTCATTTTTGAATTCATATTGTCTTTCTATCAATCATCTAATATGTTATGATTACTTTTATATTTTTAAAATGCCTTTTGATAGCACTATTCTGTTTGGCTTAAGATTTCTTTTTTGTTAATTGTGAAATATTCTCTTTCTTTTTTATCTAATACTTTGATTCTGTCTATTGTTATTTTTTTCCTGAAATTATTTGTTAATATCACATGATTCTTCTATAGTTGTCCTTAAAATATTGACATTGAGTTTCAATTACTTTAAGAATTTTTTAATTAGTTCTCTTTTTTTTTCAATAAACATGTTTTTCACAATATTGATTTGAGATTACATAGGTATTCTTTTATTTGCAATAGATTATATTTTGATATTTAATACTCCAAGGTATCTTATTTACTATTAATTGGAAATTAATCATTTAAGCTTTCATAACTTCCAGTATGAGTTTATTAAGTTGTTGAAATAATAGAAAAGATTCTGCTATTGTTGAGTATTTGTTAATTTTTTTTTTTTATTTTGTGAAACTTTTTATATAATTTAATTGAATCTTTTTTCTTTACTGTTTTGTATTTTGTTATTTTGCTTTTGAAATCATCTGGTAGTTTTTTTTTTACAATAAAGATTGTTGAATGCTAATACAATTATTATTTTTTTAAATTCATTAAATAAGTTTTAAGCTTTAATATTTTGATTACTGAAACTTGCTATCTTATTATATAGACTTGTTATATTTTTTTGAAGTTTTTTGTTTTATACTTTTTTTTTCAATTTTGTTTTTAAACTTGTTTCATTATTCTTTAAATGTCTTGATCAAATTAATTATTTTTTTTGTCATCATTTTATATCCTTTTGCTGGTTTGGAAATAGATAAACAAGAGACTCTTTAGTTATATGAAATTTCAAGAAAGTATAATCATTATTTATAACTCCATTAAAGTTTTTAATTTTGAATCTAATCAAGTCATTAGTTATGAATAGTAAGTTCCAAGCATAATTTATTCTGCTTGAGCTTTTGTTATTTAATCAAATATGCAATATTTTTTAATTGTTTCAAAGTTATTAAAGATTTATTAGATTTTGATTAATAAGATAACTAAATATTTATACTTTTGATTCTTCTATTGGTATGAAGATTTTGTTAAGGCCTATACTTGTATAGTTATATCTGAAATTAAGAATAATATTGAAATTATTTAATAAAATAATTTAATGTTGTTAATAAATTTTTTTTTGAATAAATACTTGAATTTTTTTCTGAATCATTAAACTTTTTTGCTTATTACAAGGAAAATATACTTGTGCAATTCATATTTTACATTTTTTGCTTCAAAAATTAATAATTATTATATAATCTTTTAGCTTATTTATATTAATAATATTTCTTTTAAAAAACTCTTTCCACTGATCCTTTTGCCAACCCAAAAAACAGACATTTTCAAAAAATTTTTTGTCTTTATGATAATAAAGTCTATACACTTTCCTTGAAAACAATACTGATTTTAACCAGCCAAGTGAGCAGAAGCTACCACTTGTTTTATTTTTCTTTTTCAAAACACTTTTCTTGTTTATTTTTG